CACACACATATACATACATACACATACACATACACGCGCAAACAAATATACAAACAAATATACAAAACATTTAGCCAAATGCATCCTTACTTATTCCCTGCTTTAATATTCCACCTTATCTATTTTGCATTCTGATCTATCTCTTTCCCCTTTCTGTGATCACAATAATTTTTATAATTTTTTCTCTTTCTTTCTGTCTTTCCGTCTTTCTCTGATATTTCTATTCTTACTGGGCCAAAGTAAACACGTGTAAAAGGGCGAAATTGAAACGATTGAAAATATCATAACCGCTAATTGAAATGCATGCATGCAGGTTTGGCAGGTAAAAGACGATCGAGTTGCGTGAAGAACATAGGACGTACAGCAGAACAAGCGTCTTACTGGAGATGGTTATGTAGGAAGAAAAAGAAATGCGAGTTTAAATAGTTAACATATGAGCTTGTGAGCACGTAAGGCTTCAGATTACTCAACACTCCCAAATTTGGCTTAGCGTATTACATGGCTTGTCGATATAACTCACATCGTGATATGTTTATATGTGAGCTGTCTGGCTTGCCTACACAATTTTTCTGTATAAGGGGAGATGATTTCAAGGGAGGCAATTTGTTTGTTCAGCGAGAGACATCCAACCGATCTCTGGATGTGGCCCTGTTGCTCGAGATTGCCAGGAAGATTATCGTAATTCACTCGCAGACCCCGTGTAGAATTCTTCGTGATAACACACACACAAACATACACACACACATACAAACATCAATATACACACACATACGCTAACATACACACACACATACAACAAATAATCTAAAAAACCCTATTTACGCGAGTCGTGTCGAAATAATAGACCGTGCATTTTTTTTTTCGTCGTACGGGTAGGTAGTCGACCACGAGGGAGAACGTAATTAAGAGAGGGAGTGAGATGGAGAGAGAGAGAGAGAGAGAGAGAGAGAGAGAGAGAGAGAGAGAAAGGTTCATTTATCATTCGTTCTCTGTTATCATTTCTCTCTTTTTCATCTTCGTTTTCATTCTCCTCTCTGCTCTTTTTTTCTCTTTCTCTCTCTCTTTTTCTCTCTTCTTTCGCTCACTATTTCTTTAATTTAGTTTTATTTTTTTTTGTGTGTTTTGTCATGAGGTGTACTAAAAAAATAGGCATGTGAATAGGCATATTGATCTTATGATGAAAATTGTGTATATTTATATTTATTTAAAAAGTCAAATGAGAAAGAGAGAGAGAGAGAGAGAGGGAGGTAGAAAAAAAAGAAGATGGAAAGAGAGAGAGAGAAAAAGAAAGAGAGAGAGAGAAAGAGAGAGAGAAAGAGAGAGGACAGATAGAAATAACGTATGTTTTTAAGAAAATCTAATTTATATTTCTATATTTCATTTCTGTTAATGTATAAGTATACATAATTGAAACATTCTGAACATAAGTTGCTCTTAAATTTGGAAGACTGATAGTTTAATATTAAAAGTGAAATGTACACACACGCACACACACACACACATGCGTACACACACACACGCACAAGCACACACGCAAATGCATACACACACACACGAACACACGCAAGCATATATGTGTATACTTGATTTGGATATTTTCTGTGAGTTTTGTATGTACTTTTAATTTATCAACATTAATTTTGTTTTTGAGGTTTCTTCTAAAATTGAAAAAAAAATTAAATTAATTTTGTTGACAAACGATACGATACTACTACTACTAATAATAATACTGCTGCTGCTGCTTTTGAAGATGCTGCTTTAGCTGCTGTGGCTACTACTACTATATTACTTTTATTACTATATTACTACCACTGCTATATTACTACTAATACTTCCACCGTTCTAATACCGTAATTTTTATATTTGTAATTATTGTCAGGTCGTCATTATCGTCGTCATCATCATCATCATCGTCATCATCATTATTTATCACCATCAGCTCCACCATCGTATTCGTCATCATCACGAAAGACTTCATCGTTAATGTTCTTTGCTTATTTTTCTATACCCTCATTCGAATCATCGTCATGGTCGTCATCATCTCGGTTTTTTAATTAAATAAATACTTAATATCGCCCATGGCCAGTTATTATTATTAATTTATTTTTGTTTATTCATTCATTTGTTAATTTTCATTCGCTTATTCGTTCGTTTATTTTTATTCGTTTTTTCCATGGATATTTTGACAGTTATATTACATTCAGAACAGATTCCTAAACCAAACTTCGATGCGATTGTTCTACATTCATCATTAGTATCCCACTGGTTACTATTATTATTATCATTATTATTTTTGTTATTATTATTATTATCATTATTATTATTGTTAATAGTATTCATAAATTTTTATATCCCCTCCACATGAGGAATAACCGATCACTGGCTGGAATACATACAAACATACATACACACATACATACACACATACATACACACATACATGCTGTATATATATATATATATATATATATATATATATATATACATGTGTATGTGTATTCTAAATAAGAGTGTTTTAAAGATCAGTTTGTTTGTTTGTTTTTTCCTGTCAATTTACACTCACGCACGCACACACGCACACATAAACTGAAGCACACACGAACACACACACAAACACACTTGAATATTGGGATGCCATTATATATATATATATATATATATATATAATACATATATATATATATATATACACATAATAGTAAATTTGTTTGTATCTTTAATTTATATGAATTCAAACAAACATACACAACATACAAACACACAAACAAACCAGCATACAAGCGAACAAACAAACTAACACACAAATGTATGTGTATTTAAACATTAAGGAAGAAAGACATTAATTCATGCAATAAATCAAACTTCAAACAAATCAGCGCTGCTTAATTTTTAAAATGGACAATTTTTGTTCAGAGTTAAAGGAATAAAAACTCCCAACATTTTTGTTACCAACCTATTCTTATCATTAATGTTACTACTACACGTAGTAATATTACTACTTATAATTACACTAAAAGTACTGGTACTACTACTACATTAACTTTTACTGCTGCTGCTGTCGTTGCTTCCATCACTACTACTGCTGCTGCTACTACTAATATCGCCACTGATAGCTCTACTTCTACTACTACTACTGCAGCTACTACTGCCGCTGTTGCTGCTGCTGTAACAACAAAAACCACTACTATTACTTTTACAACCCTTTTTTTACTGCATACTCTTTTTAAAACACCCCAGCGCAGTTCGAAGCAAGTAACATCACTTGAAGTCGTTGAAAAACTATTCCCCATAAAATGTTTATTACGTAAAAAAATACCATGTAATACTAAAAATTTAGTTTAGGTAAACAGTTTAAACTTTTTTAACTTTTGTTGAAAAAAAAAATACAAAAGCGAGATGAAATGAATACTTTTGAATGGGTTATAAGCTACCTTGAGTGTGTTTATTGAGTAAACAATACATTTTTTAACAAGTATGTCTGCCTGTATGTCTGGTTTTGTATGTTTTTCATTGGTTTTCTGTGTTTTTCTCAGCCTATTTATCTGTTAGTGTGTTTGTCTGTCTGCTTTTTTTGCTTGTTGGTTTGTCTGTCTAGATGGCTTTTTATAAGTCAATCTTTATTTATACATGAATGTCAATAGCGTTGAGTTTGTTTGTATGTGGTTGTGTCTGTGAGGTTTATGTATCAGCGACTTTTTATAACAATTGGGTGTTAATTTTTGTGTTTGTATGTGTATTCAATTTTGTGTCTGTGAGGTTTATGTATTAGCGAGTTTGTTTTTTCATTTGTTTGTCTGTGAGAGGCCTGTGTGTTTGTTTGTATGTTTGTTTGTTTGTATGTTTGTTTGCTTGTTTATAGTCATTATTAGTTTGTATTTTTCAGAATTGTATGTTTGTTTGCGTATTTATGTATGCGTGTTGGTATGTATTTCAGTTAATTGTTAGTGGCGGTCGGCAGATGATAATGCGCGCTCTGACTAGATTAAATATGTATTACTTCAAATCCCAGCTGGTTAGGTTGCTGACGCTCTGACGATGATGTGTTTTTAAATTTTGAAAGATGAGAAAAAAACAACAAAAGAATACAAACAGTTAAAAACAAATGAAAAACAAACAAATAAAAAACAAACAAATGAAAAATAAACAGATGAAAAACAAATGAGACGAAGAAAAAGTGACATTCGCTCGCCGGCTAGTTTTTTTTGGAGAAGATAATAAATCCAATGCAACTCCAGCCAAATAATATAATGTGTGTGTCTGTGTGTGTGTGTGTGTGTCTGTCTGTGTGTGTATCTGTGGGTCTGTGTGTGTGTCTGTCTGGGTCTGTTCGTGTGTCTGTAACGCAACTGTGGATAAATGAACTACAACAGATAAATTAATACCAACAATATATTAATTAATATTAGTTTAATACAAACCATCCAACTAACCAACCAATCAACCAACCAAACAACAAGCCACCCAGCCAGCCAACCAAACCAGCCAGCCAGCAAACCAGCCAACCAAACCACCAGCCAACTAACTAGCCGACCAACCAACCAACCAGCCAAACAACCAAGTTTACATTTACATAACCGGCCAACTGACCAACCAAGTTTTCATTTGTCGGATTCTTGGCAAACAAACATAACATTACGATCATAAGAAACACGTTATGCTAAGGTAAATACTACTACTACAGCTGGTGCTACTGCTACTACTACTACTACTACTACTACTACTACTACTACTACTACTACTACTACTACTACTACAAATACTGTTGATAATAAAATAATAATAATAATAATAATAACAATAATAACGGTCGGCCAAATTTTGAATGTACGCAGCAAATAGTGCAATATAAATAAATAGCTGACTGAGATGAAATTTTTAATCTTTTACTTTCCATTTTATAACCGGATGTTGTGGAAGTCACGTGCTATTATTATTGCTGTAGTTGTTGTTGTTGTGATAATAATGATAAGAAAAGTCATCGTCATTGTCGTCGTCATCATCATCAGTATCATCATCATCACTGTCATCATCATTGTCTTCATCATCATCGTCCTCGTCATCATCATTATAATCGTTATCATTGTCTGCATCATCATCCTCTTCTTCATCATCGCCACCATCATCATCATATCATTGCCACCACCATCATCATCACCACAATCATCATCATCATCGCCATCATCATCATCACCACAATCATCATCATCGCCACCATCATCGTCATCATCATCATAACCATGACGAACGTCATTATTCCACGTCAGATCAGCTTGCATTCTAATGGAGGTCTCACTAGAGTAAGGTGAGTGTCACGTGAGAGGTCACGTGGCTGGTAGACATGATGACGATGATGGTGATGTTGATGATGACGATGATGGTGATGGTGATGATGATGACGTTGATGATGATGATTGTAATGTAGATATTATTTGATAATAAAAAATTCAAGAAAGAAAAAACAGAGAATGAATGAATGGATGAATGAATGAATGAGTAAATGAATGAATGACTGAATGAATGAATAAATAAATGAATGAATGAATGAACAAACGAACGGACGAACGAATGAACAAATGAAATGTAAAAAACTAAAAGAACAAAGGTGATGATGCCGATGAGTAATAATAAATACAAAGTTAGCAACTATGGCGATGACGCTGACGATGATGATGCTACAGACGCTACTGCAGATGCTGCTGATGATGACGTAGGCAAAAGTGATGTCGAAGATGATCTCAAGCCAACAGCGACGACGACGACGATGATGAATAAGAATCAATCTAATACCTAGGTTAATTAGTCGGCAGACGTTGAAGAAAGAAAGAGGGAATAAAGAAAAATTAAATTGATTTCAATTGAAAAAAGTTAATTAGAATTTGAAGGTCTATAAGACATTTAATGAAATAAATTTTATGGACAAACGAACAAACGAACAAACGAACAAACGAACGAACGAAAGAACGTACGAACGAACGAAGACAACAAACTAACACAAACACAAAAAAGCAAACAATGAAAATATATACACATGCAAACGTACGTACACACACATACACACAGACAAACGATAACATATATACATAGACGCAAACAAACATCTTAACATACACGTACACACGCACACACATACACACACGCGCACATACATATACACATACAGTACATGCATTCACACATTTGTACATATAACTGTGTATACCCTGCTGATAATTTGGGGAAAACAAACCTGAAAAATTTCAGAAAAAAAACCAAAAATTTAAAAAGAAGAAAACCTAAAAACATACAAAATAATACATGAAAAAAAACTGACAAATGAAATCTATTTTTCAAACCCATCACGTAGGAGGTTGAAAATAATGGTGTTGCTGGTGACGACGAGATGATGTTTGTTTGATGATGAAGATAATAAAATTGGTAGTAGCACTAGTAGTAAAAAACCGGGACGTTGAAAACAAACCATCAGACCATAAAATATGTATGTACACATGGTCGTTGTACACAAACAAACAAACACACACACACACACACACACACACACACACACACACTGAAAAAAAGTGGACAAACAATTCATCTCGGAAAAAAACACTCCACGTGACAAATATCCAATTTGATGGGCAGATGCTTGGGACACATAAAAAATTACGTAACCTCTTTATACAAACGCACACACACAAACAAACAAACACTCACACACACACAAACAAACACACACACACACACGTACGTACACACATCCGGTTTAAGATCCACTTTGGGTTAAAGTAAAAATGATCGATATTCAACATTGGCACGGTCAATAAATATTCATTATCAACATGTCTCGAGCAAACAAATGAGAAAAATTATACACATGTGTGTGTGTTTGTTTGTATATGTGTGTGTGTGTTTGTTTGTATGTGTGTGTGTGTATATGGGCTTGTAGTTGAAAACAATAGCCATCCTCTGTATACACGTCATGTCAAATTGGTTTTAAGGGTCTAGCATTGAATGGAGTGTATATTTACATATAAATATAAATATATATATAAAGTATGTAATATACACTATTATACTATAATAATAATAATAATAATAATAATAATAATAATAATAATAATAATAATAATAATAATGATAATGATAATAATAATGATAAATTATAATAATTATAATAATGACGATTATTATAGATGTGTTACTAAAAATAATTGCGATCAAAAATAAATAAGACACGCTTCCTTATTTGTTTTCCTCAAAAATGCATCAGACTCACTTTTGAAAGATAATAATAAAAATATAATAATAATAAAATAATAATAAAATAATAATAAAATAATTATAATGGTCATAATACTTTATATTGTTGTTATATATGCAATTAGTATTTTTATTGTTGTCGTTGTAAATGTTTTAAACTAAGGTGCACCCCGGCATGGCTGTTTGTTGTTTCATTGTTTGTGATTATTAGCTGGATATACTACAGTATAGTGATAATTATTATGATAAATAATAATATTAATTATTAATTATTATTATTATTATCGTCATAATTATCATCATCGCTCTCCCACGCTCCTCATCTTCATCGTAGGAAAATTTAATTTGCCACGTTACTTTCACTTTCACTGAAGTCGTAAATCGTAACTGTATGCTCGTTCGTTCGTTCGTTCGTTCGTATGTTCGTTCGTATGTTAATTCGTTTGTATGTTCGTTCGTTCGTATGCTTTATTGCACACCACACACACACACACACACACACACACGCGCACATAAACACACACACATAAACACACACATAAACACACACACACATAAACACGCACGCACACACACACGCACGCACTCACACACAAACATTTTCAACATTTATTAATAGATCCCTGGGAATACCTTCGTTGGTATTAATAAATTAATTGCCAGACAATAAGCTTAAATATCGTAACTAAATGGTTCATCAGATAATATATTTATATATTTATATATTTATATACATACAATTTGTATGTTTGCATGTATGTATGTATGTATATATGTATATATATATATGCGTATATGTATATATGTATAAGTTTTCTTAAAAGTTTGTTTTATTACATTAACAGAGAAGTTGCTCTATATTAGGAAGGTATTAATAGAAAAAAACATGTGTGGGTGATTAGTAGAGAAAGTATGTTTGTGCGGATTTGCGTAGGTTTGTATGTGTGTTTATATGTTTTGAGTATATGTGTGTAAGTGTGTGTGTGTACGTGAGTGTACATTTTCTTGTGTGTTTGTGTCAGTGGGGCTGTATGTATGTAAGTCTAAGTATGTGGGAGAACGTGTGTATGTGTGTGTGTGTTCATGTTTGTGTGTATGTGTGTGTGTGAATTAAGTGTGTGTATTTGTGTGCGTGTGTGTCAGAGGATTATGTATATTACGTAGCCGCCATTAATTATCGATGTATTCAAATGTGACAGGCGTGTTAGATACCTTTAACTTTGCTTACAGTCGTTCATTAGAGTTTTTTACTCAGTAAAATTTTCATCAACTCATGAAATCTATCTCTATGTTTTATAGATAATTGTATTTTCATTAGATGTTTCATTTGCAGGCAGACAAATTACTGCTCATTCAGAAAGTAATACGTTGAAGATTTAACATTGTTTTGTTATAAAATTAACAACAATTTTCTGTAGCAGCTACAGCTACCACTTTTACCACTACTACAACTGCTACTTCTACTCTACTACTACTACTACTCCTACTGTTACTACTACTACTACTACTACTACTACTCCTACTGTTACTACTACTACTATTACTACTACTACTACTGCTACTACTACTACTTCTACTACTACTTTTTATACTACTACTGCTGCTACTACTGCTGCAATTTATTTTGTTGGTTTAATAATAACTAAATTAAAAAATATCTTTTTGTTTTAGGGTTCAACAATTTTTAAATTAAATATCGGAAAGTCGATTCATATCCAAGTTTATTTGCAATGACCGTCCCTGTAATGATGATGTCCTCCAGATGAATTTGTCTACAGCAGAAGCAACCACATCAACGTCATTGTCATCTTCTTCCTCCTCCTCATCATCATCATTATCATTATTACCATCATCGCCACCAGCAACAACAACGTCATCATCATTATTGACAACAACAACAACAACAACAACAACAACAACAACAACAACACCAACAACAACAACAACAACGTCAGAGCAACGCCAACAACAATACAAAACTTTTCTCAACAATTTCTACATAATTTCTCAAACTGCGAAAGACAAAAACCTCGGGCAATGTAATAACGAGCTTAGCTATTTTTGCTCAGACTTCGACGAAAAAATTTTTCTTCCGCCAGACTTTTCCACTGCAATTTCAATAAATTTGGTTCATCAGCAGCAACAACAAAATCATCGTTATCAGTATCAGCAACAGCAACGACAACAGTAGCAACAACAGTGACGACATCCGCTACAACTTCATCATCGATATCAAGAACAACATTATCGGCAAAGCCAATAGGGCACACACCACCACCATCATCATCATTAGCAGCAGCATAGTTATCATCATCCACGACATCATCATCATCATTATCAACATAGTTATCATCATCAACATCAACATCGTTATCGTCATCATCATTGTTATAATTTTCATCTTTAATATCATCGTCATCATTTGCAACAGCCACAACAACAGTAACAAAAACAGCAATAAATGTTTCAACAACATTTTGTCCCGTTAACACTGAAGCAATATTTGCCTCCATCTTCACATTTTCCGCCTCACCCCCAACAGCAGAAATTTTTCAGTGACCATTATCAAACTTATCAAGAGGCTATGTTATCGTTGCCACAACAACAACAACAACAACAACAGTTAAATCAACCTCAACTGATGTATCAGCAACAACATCAGCAATTTATACAGCAACAACAACACCACAAACAGCAACAACAACAACAACAGGACCAACAACAGCAATTTATATTCGCGCCATTGCAATCATTTCAAATTTTATATTTCCTTGAACCCAATTTAACGCCAGCCAACAACAACAACAACAACAACATCAACAACAACATCAACAGCAACAGAACAAAAACGGAAATTGCTAATCTTTACGGATCGTTTCAGCCGGAAGTGGATGATGCTTGCTGTTGTGAAACGGAAGTAAATAATGATAAGGATCGTGACGACGATAAGTATAGTGATGATAGAAAAAATTGCGGGTCAAAGAGTTCAACAAAGTAGGTTGAAACATTTTAATTTTTGCTGCGTCGCACGCACACACACGCACACAGGTACACACACATACATACAAATACACACACATATACCAGCACGCACACACATACATGCTTACACGTACAAACACATATACAACCACCACACATACACAGACAAACATTTTTATCACCCTCGCCATCGTCATCGTCGCCATCATTTTCTAAAAATAGCCTGCGACATGTCTGGCATAAGTGGTTCGACATTTACTTTCGGAAGTTTCCTCACGGGTGGACACTGGTGCCCTTACCCCTTCAAATCATCACTGACCCATCCTTCGTGGTTCTCAAGGATAGCGCCAAAGTCAGATTCCTGTGTCAGGTTGGATGTGATGAGGACGATGAGAATGATGAAGATGATTTGATGAGAAGGATGATGAGGAAGAAGAAGATGATGATGACGATGGGACGGTGATGCAGATGATGATAACTAAGATGATGACAATAATGATGGTGATGAAAGTGACGACGATGATTGAAAGAATTAAAAGAGCCGCTAAACATTTTAACATTTTCAAATTATTAACTCCAAAACCGAACAAAAATAAAATTTTTCTAATTTCAATTTTCCCTCGCTTGGCGTCTCAGTGCTGCGCAAATGCTTGGACCTCGATGAAGGGTTGCGTCGTATTCTGGGCCAGATTGGATCTAGCGAGTGGGAAAGGAATTATTTTCTTTCGCTTCTTCGGCCAGCAGTGTAAGAAGTGTGGGGTAGAGCAGTTCCAGAGGGCCCTGTGGTACCCGGAAGAAGTTGAAAAGGTTGGTGAGGATGATGATGAGGATGGTCATAATTATGATGAAACTGTAATGATGAAGAAGATGATGATAACAACGTAATGATGATGAAGATAATGATAATTATGATGACGTCACGATGATGATGACGACGACAAAGAAGATGACATCACTTTTTAGTAATTTTAATTTTCAAAAATTACCCAGGTAGTAAAAAATCTTTCCCAGAAAACGGCCACAATATTTTACGGACAACCCAGGGCTCAGATGGACGGCTGTCGGAGGCAGGGCAAGCCCCGAACGCCCCATAACACCAAGTTATGTCAGGCTTGCTTCAACAACGTCTGCACACTAAAACCTTGAGGATGTCAATAATACAGATGATACTAATGCTAGAGATAATATCGGTGATACGGATGATTATGATGAATTACATGGAAAAAAGTGGACTTAAATTTTATTACTCATCCATTCATTCATCCATTCATCAATCTTTCCATCCATCCATTCATATATCCATTCATCCATCTATTTATCCATTTTTTCATCATTCTATCTGTCCATCATTTCATTTCTCTATCTACTTTTTTACTGTTTTTCCATTCATCACATAAATCATGTGAGGCCAGCGCGGGTGATCTATTTATTTTCATGAAATATTGTATTCAAATCTTCTACCTTCCTGACAACTTGAAATATATTAAGCAATACTTTTACTTTTAACCTCAACACACACGCGCGCGCGCGCACACACACTCGCACACACACACTCGCTCAAACACACTTACACATATACTCACACAAACATACACACACATACATACAAACAATCCAACTTATACCGTAACAAGCAAACAGACATACATAAGATAATACAAACCCTTTGTACATTTTCAAATACACCCAAATTAGTATTTAATCATACATACAACGAATCATACTTACAAACATACATACACACATACAATTGTACAAAAACATACAAACTCAAAACATACAAACTCATTTAAAGTCAGGTACAAACAAAACGGATAAAACTTATAATGCAAATACTGATGGCAAACAAATTTTTCACTAATATTAAAAGCCATCACGCATAAAAACACACATACACACACAAACACATTCATACACACAGAGATACACACACAAACACACACACACACACACACACTTAAACATAAATATTTTTTATTCTAATATATATTATTTTACCTGCCATCTTAGTGACAATAAGAAACATTTGTATGTTTGTATATGCAAATTTTCTCGCAGCTATGTTAGTATCATGCCTTTTTTGTATTATTATTTTGTATATGTTTGTATACCTTTTTACTTTTATACTTTTTTCTATGTTTTATATACTTTTTGTATAATTTGAACATTTTTTCGGAGGTTTTTTGAATCTATAGTATAAAAAATTTTAAGACATGTCATTCTTTAGAAATGTTTGCTGTGTTTTTTCTTTTGTTTGTTTATATTGTTTGTCAATTGTTTGTTTGTTTGTATTATTTGTATTTTTTGTTTGCATGTTTGTTTCGCTTCAGTGTATCTTGCACAATTGAATTTTTGTCCTTGTTTGCATTTTTGTTGGTTTGTTTGTATTTATGTTTGTTTGTGTTTATGTTTGTTCGTTTGTTTGTATTTATGTTAGTTTGTATTTATGTTTGTTTGTATTTATGTTTGTTTGTATTTATGTTTGTTTGTTTGTATTAATGTTTGTCTGTATTTAAGTTTGTTTGTATTTTGTATTTCTTGTATATTTTTTTGAGGTATTTAGTTTTAAATCAAAATGACGTTTCATGTTATGTCTATTTTTTTTCCCAAGGATTTCCATTCGAGAAAAAATATTTTAAAAAATTATTAAAAAAAAATAATAAAATAATAAAAAAGATCTTTTTTTTTTGTTTTGCATCATTGTCCAAAACATCAACCTAAGCACGCATTTAATTTAATTTAAGACTCCATGGAAAAGTTAACAACAACCACCACCACAACAACGACAACATCAACATCAAAAACAACAACAATATCAACAACAACACAACAACAACATCAACCAAAACCTCAAAAAACAACCCCATCAGCAACGTCAACAATATCAACAACTATAAAATCAACAAAAACAAAAACATCAACATTAACAAAACAACAACGAAACCACCAGCCACCAACAACAAAACCGCCATCAACAACAACATCAACATGATCAGTTAATGATATTAGTGATGAATAGCCCACTATATCAAGCAAAAAGTTCATTATTATAATTGTATATGAGTATGTATCTTACAGGTATGTATGTATGTATGTACGTATGTATGTATGTACGTATGTATGTATGCTTGAATGATTGTATATATGTATGTGTGAATGTGCATGTATGTTTTTATGTCGTCATCATCATTGCCTCGTTTATGTATGCCTGTGTATGTCTGTATGTCTGTACCACAATGCCAAAAGCGGTTGCAGCAATTAATATCTACCAATTATACATTTATTTGCTACACATGCTCATTAATGGTATATACTAGTACACACACACACACAAACAAACACACACACACACACACGCGCACACACACTTTGATATATATATATTATATATATATATATATATATATATATATATAAGTATAATATAGAACACACATAGCTACCTACATATAGACATACATAGACATACATACATACATACATAAATAGATATTTTGAGTTTAGACTATCATAAATACAATCATTTATAAAGATTTATAAAGACTGATGATGGAAGTTGATGCCGAAGAGAGCTCTTCTGTAGTAACAACGTTATTAATAATGTTTTGTTAAAAATGTCAAATATTAAAATTTTTCATTTATC